ACCAGAGCAAAAGAGAGTAGATGGAGTAACGTAGTAGGAAAGGGCGTGTGAAGGGGGAAGGGCGAGAAAGAGGATGGCGACGAGGAGGAGGAGGAGAAGGAGGAGGAGGAGGACGACGACGACAACAATGATGACGACGAGGGTGCAGGCCGATCAGGGGCAGAAGGATGATAATTCGGAGGACGCGCGGGCAGCATCTCGAGAGCCGCCCCAGCTCCAGACACGCAGTGCTGGGGTACTAGGCTCCAGCTCTGAGGCTCTACCATGCTGCGTGCTTCTCGGCGTTGAGCGAGTGGGGGAGGTGAGAAGGAGAAGAAGGCCTTCTCAGAAGCTTCGGAAGCCCCCTGGCCTTCGGAGAAGTTTTTAAGCCGCCTTCCTCGAAGACGCCCAGAGCTTCTCAGAAGGCCGGCGGGCTTCTGAGAAGCCCCGCCGCCTTCTGAGACGGCCTTCTCCCTCACCGCATCGAGAAGGAGGATGAGGCGGAGGAGGAGGAGGAGGAGGAGGAGGAGGAGGAGGAGGAGGAGGAGGAGGAGCAATAGGAGGAGAAGGAGGAGCGCACGTAAATTAGGAGGAGGAGGAGGAAGAGGAGGAGGAGGAGGAGGAGGAGGAGGAGGAGGAGGAGGAGGAGGAGGAGGAGCTTCTCACTTCCACCCCTCGCTCGCCGCCGGCCTTCGTCACGACGTCGGACCTCCGGGGAGACCGAGGACCGGCGGGCGGCGCTGCCCCCTTTCGACAGACACGTGGCCCCGGCGGGGCCCGGCACACGGTGGCGCCCGGGCGGCCGGGAGAGGAGCGCCGGCCGCCTCTCCCTGCCGTGGGCAGGACAAGGCGGGCAGGCGGCGGCGCAAGGGCAAGGCCACCTCCAGCCCTGTTGTGGCGGCGGCGGGCCTGGCAGTGAGCCTGGGGAGCGAGCACCTGCGGTGTAGCTGACGCATCACCTCTCGGTCCACAGCCCGTCCACACGCTCACACACACACCCTGTTGTCAACCCGCACAGGAAGGATGGGCAACCTTCCCAAAGGTGCCCTGCCGGGTATAGCCAGGGCCTCGACTATAGACTTAAGAGTGACCTTTCGCCGGAGTGACCTCTGTTGGGCCTGGCGAACGGGGGGGACAGGGAAAGGGGGGGTTACGAAATTTGCTGCATGCAGCTGGTTTCGGCCCCACCGAGGGGCCCAGTCCTCGATACATAGCCGCCTCCGGCGCCGGGAGGCGCCAGGAAAATCAGCTACGTGAGTAGATTCTCAACCCCCCCCTTTGCTATCCCCCCCTTTCGCCCGGCCCGACTTTGGTGCGGGCACAATGGGGTTCCCCGATCGCCGAGCGCGATGCGACAGTAGCGCCTTGCGCGCCCGTGTTTGGCCCCCCCGCGGCCCCCCAGAGGCCGCGCACCAGAGGTCACTCTTACCCGGGGTCACTCTTGCGTGCAGCCGAGGACCCCAGGCAAGGGGACAATAGAGCCCTGCAGCCCCCAAATGGGTCAGAATCACTGAACCAGGTCTGCCGTAGCTGGTGTTTTCCGGGTGACGGTAATTCCGGCTAGTGGAATGGGACGGGGGGGGGGCGTCCCTGGTACAGATCACTAAACCAGGTCCCGCGAAACCCAGTTCTGCCAACGCCCGACCCTTGCATCCTTGCCCCCTCGGTCCATCCTTGCCGACTTTCGCTGGCCAACCTCGTTCGAAGAACATTCACATGGGCCTCCAGGGCCCTTACATCCTTACGGCGCATCCTCATGATACGGGTCGGCTGTATGCGCGGCTCCACGGAGGGGGCACTAGAGGCTGGGGACTTGGCCGCCAGCCGCATTAGGCATCTCGTTTCTCGGGGCTCAGGGGGCGGGGGTCCATGCAAGCGGGCGTCAGCCAGAGCGCCAGATCTTGCAGGATCCCTGCAGAGCCAGGGCTGCACTGACCCGGGCTTGCGCGCAGGATCCTGCAGGATTTTGCAGGATCCTGTAGGGCCCGACTGACCTGGGCTTGAATTGACCCGGGTCGTCAGTAGATCCCCGAGCTTCTTTCTCCCGCCCTCAGTTTCAACGAGAAGGGGGGGATAGGCATAGGGGGGGATGCATCAATCCCCAATCGCCCAGTGATCGCCGACAGGGGCCCGATGATCCCCAGCCTGACCAGGAACGAGAGGATTCGCTATCGGGGGCCCCGCCGATCTATCGGCGATGTATCGCCGACTCCAGGTCGACGTTTCCCCCCCCCCCCCCCCCCCTGTGATTATCCCCTCCCATCGTTGCCCCTTACAGTCGGGGCGCTGAAGAAGGATCACTTTTCGTTCGGGAGGGGCTCCGTGTTCTGTAGTTGCTTTACAGTGCTCCTTGGGTTTTCCTGAGGTTTTCCACGGAACATCGGAGTTTAACTTATGGGAAAAAAGGGGCCTCGTTCCTTATTTGGGATTCCTTGGGTCAACGCCCCGACTGTACTCCCTCCCTCTGGTCTCCGTCCTGCTCCTCGTCTTGCTGCCCCTCCGTGGCGGGTGCCCCCCTCAGCGGGGAGGCTGGCAGTTGTCAGCATCCGCGCGCTGGCTTCACGGGAGAAGAAAACTTTGAGGCTGGGGGGGTGGCGGCTGCAACGCGGATAGCCCAGGGTTCGTTTCTAATTATTCGAGAGTTCTTTGATTTTTTGGGGGCCGAGATCCTTTCGTTTCTAACTGTTCTGCCCTGGGCCTCTTCCTGGCCACCAGGGGGCCAGGAAGAGCCAGAAACGAGCACACTTAGAAATGGGCACGATTAGAAATGAACGACGTTTAGTTTTTTTTTTTTGTCCGAAGTCGGAAACTGGAACATGTACATTACCAGTGGCGGGCTGTCTCTCAACCCCACGACTTTTCGAGGGACGGGGACGACGTTGGGGTGGTGTGGTGTTCACTTTGTTCCCCGATGGCCCGGGGAAACAGCGAAACGTGTATACACCAGGATCCCGTACACACCGGGATCCGATCTCCAGTGCAAATTTCAATGCAAGGCCGGGAAAACGCGTCGGTGTATAGCTCAGGAGCCTTGAGACGGGGGTCAATGCAAACGGGGGTCAGCCAGGGCGCCAGATCCTGCAGGATCCTGCGAAGACCCCCTCTGGCTGACCCGGGTTAGCGAGCCGCTCGAGGCCGCGAGGCGGCCGCGCATATTAGCTGACCCAGGTTCGCGAAGATCTGCGTTGCAGTTTTTTTTTTTTCCTGCATTGCAGTTTTTGGCTTCCTGCTGACCCGGGTTTGGATTGACCCAGGTCAGAAGATCCCCGAATAGCGTTTGGCTCCCTGCGAAGTGCTCCGCCGCCCCAGGGTCCCCTCCGGGCGCCCCGGCGGCCGCGGGGCCGTCGGGGCACGGCCCCGGCACGGAGAGCCGGTTCCGGGGACAGCCTCGGGGGGCTGGGGCTAGGGGGCCAGGGCCAGGGGGCCACGTGCGAACCCCACCCCTACCCTCCTCGATTTCTGAGGGGGAGGGTGGGGTTCACTTCGTGCTCTCCCTCTCAGAAATCGAGGAGGGTAGGGGTAGGGTTCGCACGTGGCCCCCTAGGGGCCCATCTGCCTCGCGCCAACCAGGGGGGTCGAGCAGTGGCGAAGCGTCCTGGCGTGCCTAGAGGCCTACCGAGCACTGTTCCAAGAACCGCTCGTGGTCTCCACGAGGTGTTCTCAGGAATAGTTCTGGCTGGGGCTGTCTCGTTTTACCACATCGGGTTTATGTTCTAAGAACATCGTTTTTGTTCTTGGGGCTTTTTTGGGTTCTAAGAACATTTCATGGTATGGCTAGAGAAATACAGGGACGGTCGGTCCCTGCCCAAGCTACCGGTGCTCCTGGCCCAGTGGTGCCCTCAGCTTTGCGCTCCACTCTTGGAGCCATGCCCAAGCTACCGGTGCTCCTGGCCCAGTGGTGCCCTCAGCTTTGCGCTCCACTCTTGGAGCCCCTGGGTCCCCCGGGGCCTCGTGAGGGGGCACTCTGGAGGCCGTGGGGGCCTGGGAGATCCTGGGATCACCTCTGGCCAGGGGCACTTCCAGCAACACTCGGGAGAGAAACAAACACAGACACAATTAATCGTCGATTCCCAGGACAATATGGGAAAATATGGGAAGTGGGGGGGAAGACAAAAACCGAGAAAATATATGAAAATATTGGGAATCTGGTTTTTGTGTGTATTTACTTGTGTGTCCCAGGGCCCCTTCAAACACCCGAGCCAGGGGGCCAGGGGGGGGGGACTACATGTCTCTTGGGGCTCCCCTGGCGCTTCCATCGCCTCGCTGTTGGACCAGGTGCTGCTTCGGTGCAACGAGCTGGCCCCCGTAACGAACTGGGCTGGAATGTGTTCGGTGTGCTTGTTTGAACGGAAGCAGCATTGTCCGGAGGAGGAGGGAGGGAGGGAGGGAGGGAGGGAGGGATGGAGGGAAGGAGGGAGGGAGGGAGGGAGGGAGGGATGGAGGGAGGGAGGGAGGGAGGGAGGGAGGGAGGAGGAGGAGGAGGAGGAGGAGGAGGATTGGGAGCGGGCAGGGGTGCCAGGAGTGTGGCTCCTGCAGCTTGGGGGCGGAAAGGGGCTCCCCGCCTCGACCCCCCTGGATCCCCCTCCTCCTCCCGCTTTCCTGCGCTTTCTTCTTCTCTTCTCCTGCGCTGGGACGAAGAGAATTGAGCTTTGGGTGCCTTGAGAGGCCTTTCCAGCCGTACCTCTGGCGTTGGGATTTGTTCGATCCCCGCGTTCTCCTTGATTTCGGCCTTCCGGGGCCGATTCGTGCCCGAGGACCATCAGCAACAAAGAACCGGGACAAAAAGCAGCCCCGTGGGAAAGGGTCGAAAACTCCAGGTCAGGGAGACGAGTATCGGGTTGTGAGGATGGGGTTGGGAGATATGAGGATATCTTTACCCGTAGGCGGCCGAAGGTATCGTTGATTGCATCGGGATGTCATTGTTCATGCCCTTCATCCTCCCAACCCCTTCCTCCCAACACGGTAATTGTTCTCCTCGCCAGTGGATAAGAAGGAAGGGGAGGACGAGCAACAGCACCAAA